CTGAGAGGTAACATTTCTCCCCTGAAAACGGTTAAATGTATACTTTCCTTTCAATTATTTTGAAAACAAGTAGGAGTTACTAAATGGAGGACAGAATCAAATAGGGAAATCATTCTCTGTCAGTCTTGGGCATTTAGGGCATGACCACTTTTAGAAACTTAATTCTTATCCCCAAACCCCTTTCAGTCCCAACAATCTATGAACAGCTGGGTTGGTGCCAATCCTTAAGATGGGGAGGTAAGATGAGATATTTGTAAAGTTCAGCACAATGTCTGACATACAGTAGGTGCTTAGTAAATGTTACTTTCCCTCATATCTGACGGCACCTTAAGTCTATAGGTACCATATCAAGTTATTTAGAATACAATTTCCTTTCTTTGACACATAGGTGGTGCTTCATTAGTACTTATTGGTTGAGATTGAACATCTTTTCCCATAAAATGCCCATTTCAAAGTCAGAAGAGTTGAAAGCCAAGAGGACCATGTTGGAGAAAGAAAATCCCTAAGATTTCTCTTCATTCTTAGAAAGATAGCAATGACAAAATATAGACAAATAGCTAAAGGCTAAGATCAGTACTAGATCTGGATGTTGCAGGAAATAGCAATATCTACCAAGAAAATAATAGCTGGGGCAGCTAGGTGGTACAGTGGATAGAGCACCGGCCCTGAAGTCAGGAGGACCTGAGTTCAAATCCAGCCTCAGGCACTTGACACTTACTAGCTGTGTGACCGTGGGCAAGTCACTTAACCCCAATTACAAAAAAAAAAAAAGGCAGAGAGAAAAGAAAGAAAAAAAAGAAAAAATAGCAGAAGAAGATATTGATTCAGCAACCAAGAAATTCACTAGATTTTGAAAAGCACTTCACTGATTATATGGAAACACCTATGGGGGGGTGGGAGGAGAGAGAATGGGAAAGGAGGAGTAACAGTCAAGAATAGCAGTAAAAAAGTCTCAACTGAAAGTGCTTAATTATAGAGGAAAGAATACATTTCTTTCCCAAAACCATTGCCTAAAGCACTAAGAAAGTCATTCCTTAAAGTCGCTTTTCTAATAAACGATAACCAAGCCAAAGAAGGATCAGCTGAAGAAACAGGGAATGTTTAGCCTGAGGAAGACATTTAGAGGGAACAGGATAAGTATCTTCAAGAATTGAAGGGCTATCATGTTGAAGAACCATTAAGACCTGCTCTGGTTAGATGTTGCAGAAAGGTGGAATGGGCTGCCAGAACAAGCAATTGCTTCTCCTCCACTGGATGTCTTTAAGTAGTCTGCATAGCTTTTGGGTATGGGATTCCTACTCAGGTGTGGATTAGAGATAGCTTCTAAGTAAATCCCTCCAAACTCAGATTTTGTTAATTACCTTGAGGGGTAAAAGTACCCTAAGGTTATGGTCAATTCACAAACAAGAAACAATTAACTCAAGGCAACTTAAAAGAGTAATTTGACAGTTTTCTAAGACTAAGTCCTGTAATTGATACAAGGAGAATTACCATAACCCTACCTAAGTCACAACATAGTTTCGGATTAAAATCATCCACGCAGACATGGGTCAATACTTAACATTTACATGTGAAACTCTAGGCACCATCATTCTTAGTCTCAAAAAGTTCACTTATTTTAAACTTCAACAAATTTTGGGATTGGAATTCATTCTTCTAGACCCAAATGGAGCTATCAAAAGACTACTAGATCTTGTGTCTCACCTACCTACCTCTCATTTTCAATGGGTGTTATATACAGCTCAGCAAGTTTTTCACATTCCATTCACATATGACATAATATAAATACCAATGCCTTAAAAAACACTGGAGTAGGAATCATGAAGGCCCTAATTCCAGCTCTGCCACAAACCGATGACTGTGGACAAGCTATGTAACTGCTCTGGGCCTAACTATGAAATGGAGGGTTAGACTGGACTAGCAGATTCAGAACCTGAGGGGAACTAAAAATATATAATGGAGCATCTTCATCTTAGATATGAGGAAGCCAAGACCCAGGGAAGTAAACAGCTCAAGCACACACAGATAATAAGTATGAGAGGCAAGATCTGAACTCAGGCTCTCATTCTAGAGCCAGTGCTCTTTCTATTGTACCATCCATCCTCTGACAAGTGTGACAGTGTCTCAGGGTACATAGATTCTCTTGTCCTAAATTTGATTTTTTAAAAGTATGTGTGTTTGGTGATGGGGTGGGAGAGAAGTCACTGTTCCAGGCCTGGGATTTTATCAGTGTAGGTACTCCCACACAGGATACTCCTTCTAGCAGTGCACCTGATATATAACTTATTGTCTATAGGTTGAATCATATAGGTCAAGTATGTGTAGAACATGAATTAAAAAGACTCAAAAGGCCTTCTTATACTGATATCTCCCCTATAGTAGGTTCCAAGAGCTTCATCTCTGAGGTCAAAATAAAAGTTCATTCTACATATTCAATCTGAAGCAAAACACCAACTTCTAATAAAGGAACTTCCCTGTGAGAATTGAAAAGAACATAAGAATCTAGCTGTTCTTGCTATACCAGGTTATCTGAAAAGTTATATAGTCATTTGGGACACCATGTATAAGTGATTGCAACATTAAAAACTGGCAGGGAAAATTACAGAGAGAATTACACATTGCTTTATGTGTGAATAAAACTTTAAAAAAGTTAAAATGTTCCCAAGTTAAAAATCCCATACATATTTGAGCAATTCACAATGTTGCTAGTGAGTGTGCTGGGAAAGAGCAAAGGAGAACACATGGGTTTTAGTTTGCATTCTGCTACTAATTTAAGTAAACTCGGGGCAAGCTGCTTAACTCTTTAGGCCCCAATTTCTGCGTAATGGATTAGACAATCTTTCTATATCCCCCTTCTAGCTTTCAAATTTTGTGATTATATTTAAACTTAATATCCTCCAAACTGGTTATGCTGTGGCATATAGTTGTTAATAAATCAGGAGCCTGATGTGGTCAGAAGAATGCTGGTTAATAATAAGAGTTCATATATGCTTTGTTTCCCACCCCACAAAAGTACCCCATTAAATATGCTATAACAAAGGCAGATGTTATCAGTTTTTAAGATAAGTTTTCAAACTAAAGATTTTCTTGAGCAACAAAAAACTAATGGCCAATTACAAATAGGACTTGTTATTACCACAAAGCTAAGCTTAACTATATGATTATTAGCCTTCATAAATTTCCAATCCATGTGTTTGGATTTTTGAGTAATCAAGGCTGGACATTTTGCATAGCAAATGTTTTCTTTACAGATAGTGAAATTATTGTTGGGGGGGGGAAGAGAAGGCTGAACAACAATAACAAAAAACAAACAAAAAAAACCATCTTTGGGAAACAAATTTCAAATACCCTAAAAACTAAATAACTTAATAAATAACATATAAGGCAAAGTTTTCAAAGTGCTTTAACATGTTTTAATTCTCATATTAATATGCACTAGGAAATATACCAATATACACTAATGTATACTAGGTTATTATCCTGTGAAGAAACTGAGTTTTAAAGATTGACTGACTTACACAAAATTTCATAGCTTGTTCCTGGCACAATCTGAACTGAGGTGTCTGAACTCCTGGTCCAGTGGGCTTCCCATTAAAATATACCAAATAAGTCTTAGATTGTTAGAGGTAGAAAAGACTTGACATACCATTTTAATTCAACTTTTTCTATTTAGAAATGGGAAAAGAGAAACCCAGAGTACTTAAATGACTTACCCTTGATTAGACAAAGTGATACAGAGCTGGCATTTGAACTTAGGTATCCTGACTCCTAGTATAGTGTTCTTTCCACTGCATATGGATGCTTCCCATAACAATATCTATTCACTAAAGCAGTTCACCATTAATCAATATATTAGGTAATAATGTTATCCTAATGAGTTATTCTCATGCATTTGAATGTAATAAAAAATTACTCTGAAAAATTGTTTTCCTCCTCAATGTATTATAAATGGAGAAAAAACCCTGAAATATCAGTCAAAAAATTAAAAATAAATTCACAAGGCAGGAAGGAGTTTAGTGCTCACAAGTTTGTATTTTTAGGTTTGATCAAGAATATTGTGTATTTTCTAAATACACTGACAAAACAGTTTTGGAAGTTTACAAACATGTCTTAAGACACTAGGTAGGTAGATTACAACAAAAGGTTGATTTTTGTAAAAGATCTTCCAGAAGAGCTTTTACAAACAACAGCATTCAGAAGAACATGTTTTTATGTTTACAGTGTTTAAAACAGATACTCCCCCATTTTATAATTGCTCACATCCATCCTCCCGTTCCAAAACTTTGCTGTTCAATTCAAATTAAAGGACCCTGATACTGTAAAACTCAAGAGCTATTAAACAGTCCTTTTTAAAAGTATGCTTGTCCCTGACTTTGAAAATACTGGAATTATTCAAATGAAGGGAAGGACAAGGTTGAAATGAAGAGCATCACACATTAAATACTACAGAGTCTAGTTTTTAAAAAATTGTATTTATACCAATAATTATACCATAGTTAAGGATCTGGGTGACTGAATGGCACAGGAAAAAGTATCTCTGGTTCCCCAGTTGAAATCCAGCCTTCATAACATGAAAGTGGGTCATTTGATTAGTAGTCAGTGTAGCTCATATTAATTGGGCCAGGCAACAAATAATACTACCCTATCAGAAGAAAATAGCAGAAATTGAAGGATTTGGGGTGAGAATGAATCCTATGACTTTGTAGCAATGACTCATAGGATAAGGAGGGTCCACTGCTGTTTTGAAGGAAATTGTGTGTCAGAGTTTTTAATTCATCACCTTTCACTGAGAAACTCATAGATAATATGGAGGAAAATTAATTTCATAAGAGGGGAGAAGTAAACCTAAACCCTTCATGTCACATTCAGAAATCACTATAACATTCAGATTTCATGCATTTTTTAAAAATCATCAGCACAGGCTTAAGGGACAACCAACTGAACAAAGTGAAGTTTACTCCACAAGTCAGCCTTTAAAAAAAAAAAGAATCATGATAGAATTGTCTTTAATATATAATTTTATAACATATTAAACTTTTAAATAACTGCCAAGCATACATCATTGGAAATCTCTTTAAAACTGCGCTTACAATTTATTTTTTTAATTGGGTGTAATTTACATAAGCCTTAAAGATGTGTATTTCTCTCTTGTAACTCATCACACACCTCTGCTGCTCTATTCAGGTCCTCCAAAAACTTCATTAATAGAAACTAATTTCACAGTGCATAACATTTCCCCCTTATTCTTAATTTTCTGTTCTTCTATTCCCATTCTCAAATCTATCCTTTCATTCTTCCTGGGCTCATTCCTAGTCTCTCCCTTAGTTACCAATGACCATTAGATATTTCCCAGAATTTCAAACTTCCTTTCTTTCTTCAGTTTCCCCTTCCTACAAAGGCATTCCATTTTAAACTTAAAATAGGACTAGATATGGAAAAATAGCATAATAATTGGCAAATAATAATGATGACTGGTGGCTACAATAATATAAGACCAAAGTAGAAGTAATCCTTTTGTGAATTAAAAACCTTAACACCTGGTCTTAATTTTAGCAGATACTGTGTGGGCATCCACTTCCTATGGAATGGATATATGACAATGCTTTATGCTCTTCACTCCATTAAGTTATTTTCTTTTTATTTCAAGAAATGTAAACCTTCCAATTTTGGCAGTAGCTCCTTAACAAACATAAAAATTACTATTCCACTGGTATTGCCTTAAGGACTGAGAAAGAAGATTTTAGAATTTTCCAACAAAAACAACTTCCTTAAATTGCACTGCAAGTCAGATCCTCCAGTAGTATAACTTAGTACTAAGTGATTTAAAAAATAAGACCTAGAAAGGGAAAAGCGGCCCCTCCAAGATCAGGAGATAAAATAAGTTAGGCAGTCAGCAAGTAGAAAAATCTGTCAATTCAATTTCTGTTGTAAAATTATTACTCTTAAGAAATAACTTTTATAGGCTGTAGCTAATATATTCAGGAATATAAACACTTTTCCTTTGGATTACCCTTCTGAAAACAAATATTAAAAGTATCAAATGTCACTTGACCAAGAATAAAGCCAATCTGTCATAACAGAAATGGCAGTGGACAATCAATTATAAAATATTTTAAATTATCAGTAACAAGCCATCTATATTAAACCTCGCTTTCAAATTATAACCAAAACAAAAGCACAACAATTCTGTAGTGTACCAAGTGTATATTTCAATTTACTGTATGCAATCTAACAACAAATTTGGTCATAATTTACCAGATATACATAAATGATTTAAGTAGTAAAAGAAGATTCCGTTTCAAGAGAATAAGTTCATACCTTGAGAAAAAAGTTAAAGTACATTAAGAATGAAAAGCCAGGTCCAGTTTCTATGCAGTAAGTGAGCTGTAGTCTAATAAAGCAGATTTAGGTGATTTTCAGATATAGAGCTTTCTTTTTAATATATATATATATATATATATTTATATATATAGACAGATCTACCAATTGTAAACTATGGTTTTTCTTTAAGGGGAGATAAATGGGATGGAAAAATCTTTATACTATACTTACATATTCACAAAGCAGAACATTTACGTTTAAAATACTTTTTCATTCATATTATCTTTGCCCTACTAATTTCTACTTTGGACCCCACCAAAATTACACATTACTCATTTCAGTCTAGAACAATGAGAATAGGATGTATGCTTCAGATTAAAATAAAAATCAAATCAAAATCTAGCCATTTGTCAGGTATACAGTGATGCAGTAGCTACCAATGAAACAATTAGGTGAAAAAGACGCATTTTAATAACCATATAACTGTAGTTTATCTCAGTTTCATCCAACAGAAACATCAGTATCTAACATTAAACCATCATTCTACCGAAATAAGGGACAATGATAAAACTTGCCTCTTAAAATACATATCAACTTTGATCAGATGGAGCACCAAAAGATTATGACAGATTATGTCTGTCAAAGCATACTTCAAAACTTTTCCACACAACTAGCATAATTTAGTTACCTGATATTATAAAATAGGAAAATAGTCATTTTATACTTAAAACAAAGCTGAAAATATGGTGACCTTCTTATTCTTGTACAGTACTATCACACTGGCCTAGCTAAGTGTTACTGGTAAATGCTGTGCATATTAATATTGTGGCATGTTAATCCATCATGTCAAATGTTCTTGGTGTCCAATGATCAGTTAATTCATTTGCCACTAAGCAACATTATGTTGATAAGTTTAACTTAATAATACAGTACCCTTTTCTATCCCAAAGAACCTTAAATAGAAAGTATAGCACAATAAATTTGGAAATATATTAATGGTTTTTTTTTTAAAAAGAGCCAATTTCAAATTTTCATGCTCCGCAAGCGCCCCTAAACTGTAGTACGCTGAAACAGGCACCGATTATGTGAATTAGTTACTAGCAGAAATAAATATAATAGCAAGTATCTTTTTCTTTTAAAAAAGGTACTGAGAACTAAGTTAAAAATCAATCATTTACCATAATTCTAAAAACACTCAATGGCCCAGAAAATGTGAAACAAAAAAAAAAAGAAGAAAGCAATTTGTTGTGTTAATTTTAATGATGAAAAAGGGCACAGGAAGTAAAAATAACCTGATGTTTGACTTATACTGCATAACAAACTAACCAAATTGGACACGCAGGATAAATTATAAAACAAATCATGTGGCTTAATAATTCTATGACTCTCTATTAGAAATTTATGCCTTTTATAGAGGACTGAGGTATATACACTGGCCAGACAATAAGGGTAGTACAGGAGGGAGAAAGAAAGGGAGGTGGGAAAAGGGTAGCTAACAAACAGTGCCAAGGTAACAGATACCGGAAACTAGACGGACATGTATGAAAACGTCATATAGTAACCATTTATCAAATTAAAACTAAAGCAGCAGGAGAAAGTTACTTATAATCAATCGTTTTAGTGGTATTTTGTCAACTTCATTGGAAAATAAAGTTAACTTCAGCAACATCATTCCACATCTCATGAAGTAGTGAAGTTTTTGCAATTTAAACTGCCTGAAGGGAGGAAGGGAAAGGGGGAGTCAGTTAGCTCATTCCAATAAATAACCTCTCCAGTTCTTGTAAAGGGACACACAGGAACAAAGAGCTGGGAAACCATAATATCAATACCAAAAAAGAATTGTTTTAAATTATGAAGCAATTGAAATTGGACAACTGAAAAAAGTTGAACCACTGGGGGACTAGAGCCCCTCACAGAAAATCTGTATTACCTTTTCTTTTAAAAAAATTTGTTTAAAAATAAAAAATAGAAACAAAACTCCACTAGCACAAACTAGCCTGAGTGGTTTGATGACAGTGTGATTGGGTTTGAGGAAGCTACTTCTGTACTTCCATAAAATTTTTCCCCATTCATGGTAACAAGTAACACATGAATGTAAAAACACTACGAGGACAGTTACTATGCTTTTAATATGACTCAAATAGCTACTGTATATCCTATAAATAATAAAAAATATTTTTACTTTGATAACTGATTGGAGATGTGAGTACTCTGTATAATTCAACCAAAAGGTTGTTTGCTGTACAGTCCTGTGCAAATATAAAAATTTAGTAATATTTTTTGCTATAAGGCTTTGACCCTACAGTTTTCACAGCAACATAACTACCATCCAGCATGTACCATATTTTGCAAGCCTTCAGTTCAAAAATTCAAATTGTCAATTCATATTATGTCCCACTGCAGCATCCTTGAGGAGTACGCTAGGTCAGTTAATCATCTAGTGACATACAAACATCCCCCGATTCGTCCCATCGAGATGGATCAGTCTGTTCTTCTCCATCATCAACCAACTCTTCGTCAGCTTCTCCTGCTTCATTCTCCTCATACTCTTCATCTCTAGTGAAATCTGTGTCCTGCACCTGGTCTACACCTTCTTGACCTCCTGGTTGTGATTTATCTGTACATTCTACACACACTCCATAACGTCGAGATCCATGTCTTATTCCAACACTGGCTGCTAACATGAATATCTTCTTACACACCATACATTTATATTTTTTATCCTTTTTATGCACCTGATTAAGAAAAAAAGGTTTAAAAATAGGTTGATGTACAGAAGAATTATGTCCACAGGTAAGAGAATGTTAAAGTAATTATAAAAATTAAATTACAATAGATATTCCTGAAGTAGGCAAACAGGAGAAGAGACTATGGTGTCTGACTCCATTGCTTGTAGAGTGCTATATAAATTGGTTCAATTCTTATTTCATTTTCTATTCAAGACTACATAAATCTATGACAATTACCCTTCTCAGGTAATGATTTTAAAATATTTCAAACCTCACAAATAAAACAAAGAGTTATATTTTCAAGTCAATATAAGAAATTACTTACCAGGGAATGTCTTTTTACATGCTCTCTTCGAGTAAACAATTTCCCACAGATATCACAGCTAAATGATCTCACTCCTGTATGAATGAGCAAGTGTCTTTTTAGTGTTCGTCTGTATTTGGCTACATAGTTGCAATGAGGGCATTTTAACTTGTTCATGATTATAGATGATTCACCTTTAGGAAGAGAAAAAGACCAAATAGAGCCAATGTGAGAGATAGTAAAGATTTATTAACACTAAAATAATTAGCCAGGCTCCAAACTTCTTTCCAAATCCACTCCCCAAATTGCTAACAATTAGCAAAATGGGTAAACCATTGCCTGCTTCTGTTGATGTGCAACATGTGAATAGTGGAATGATCCCAAAATAGGAAGGGAAGAGGAGTATGTATTTATATTACCCATATATTAAGTAATCAGACCTTTAAAAAAAAATTAAGCAGCTGTTTACTTCCCTGCCCTATTAGTTCAACAAGGATTCTATAAATGATAGTCTCTTACCTGACCACGTCAGATTTTAATGTAGCATCATTTTAAAAGGACTTAAAACGGGGGGGGGGGGGGGGATTGTACCAAATCTATTTAATCACTAATTTAGGAGTATTTTTAATATTTAAACATACCTTAAGAATTAGCTGCCTATTTGTCCATCACACTATAATAAAAAGCAGTGCCCTCATTATGATCTATAAATTCTGAAATGAATCATGAAATCATATCACTTGCTAACTTTATAAGGGACTTTAGACTAAAGACAAAATGCTCTGTAAACTCATAAGCACAAAAATTTTGAGCACTTAACAAATCTCAAAGCTCAGGATATTAAGCTATTTCCTCAGTTACTGATATGACAGTTTACTAGCATGATGTTTCTCAGTTAGAGTTATGAGATTGTGCACAGGTGGAAGTGAAAATTGTGGGCAATTCCAGGTTAAGATTTTAAGCAAATTTTTCCCAGGACCTAAAAATGTGACTGGAATAAATTTCTAAAATTCTCGAAAATACTCTGTTGGTTTTACTTGCCATTTTCCCAGGTTTCTTGTTTTGGCCAAGATTCCGGCAACAATCCATACTTGAAATCATTTGAAGTACCCGGCAACAATCCATACTTGAAATCATTTGAAGTACCCGGCAACAATCCATACTTGAAATCATTTGAAGTACCCGGCAACAATCCATACTTGAAATCATTTGAAGGACCTATTACAAATTAAAAGCTTTTTTTTAACCTTTAAATACCTTATTTGCCATGAGATGTTACCTGATACCTAATTCAAGGTCAAGAAAGAAAACTGAGTATCTTAATGAAATTTAAATATTGTGCACATCTAAACAAAGCAGCATACTGTGAAAAAGTAAGGTGGATTTGTACTACCAATTTTATTCCACATCTTCTATTTCTCTGAATTTATGTACCCGTTTGATATGTTCTGAGTAATGTTAAACAAAACAGCACTACAAAAATAGTTTGAAAAACAATCTGTGCACATCAATTTCATCAAGCTAGCAGAGACCCATTAGTTTCCTACGCTACTGCTTAGAAGTTATGGCTACAAAGTCATAGTTATACAGTAGGCTAGAATGGTATGTATTTTCAGAGAAATACAATTCTTTAGGCAGATGCTATCATTCCTTCTAAAAACAAAATGATTACTTATTGGCTTTTTGCTGGAGACTGAATATAGTTTTCTTTGGCCATCTGACTCATTCTAGTAATCTGTTGAACAGTAAAGAATAAAGACAACTATCTCCTGAAATGATATAGCAGAATCTCCCATAGTTGCACCATTTATATAGGGTATTTTGCTTTCCTAGTGGACTCCACTGCTAAAGAAGCCACATATCTTAGAAAGCTGCCTAAGGATTTCAAATACAGACTTGGGGGTGGGGGAGCACATATGGGGGTGAAAGGAGAAAAAGGGTTATGTTATGAGGTACAAAAACTTAAAACATGCAGATAGGGATGTAGGATATTGGTTTAAACTAGGACAAATCATTGATGCAGTGTGCTTCATGCTACATTGCTACATGACCAATGAAATGATTACTGGTGAGGCATAATTAATGAAGAATAACTTGAATGACTGCAAGTTTGTATTATAACAGATGCATGTTCAGCAGAAATGGAGGGGGAAGAGCAACATACAGTACCCTGGCTTGACTGGGCACATATATCAAACTCCTAAGAACACTGTGCAATTGTTGGATCAAATTTCTACTCTAGATTATCATCAGTTACACCCCATTTTAATCCAAGTGTAAAATTAAGATATTTATGAATCCCAATAATTCAGATTTGCATATGTAGAAGACTGCACTATGGAACAGAAGTTGTTATTGCTTCCAGGTATCTGGCAAACAATCAAATAGCAATTTTCCTCAATGATCACCATGCTCCAAAGGAGGATGCTGGTCACACATGAAGATGAAGTGGGATCTCCTCAGGTTTCTAAGTTCACTTGAATAGCTGATTCAGATACAATTAAAGAGATGCCAAAATAACCCACAAATTTGGTGTCAAAAGAACAAAACAGTTAATGTTTATTCTCTTAAGGGATACTTTGGGGAATTAATGAGACAAAATAAGTTCTCAATTCAGGCCAACAAGGTCATAAAAGTGCTGGCCAAGAAATGGTTCGCTAAGAATGAAATGAAATTTTACAGGTTCCAGTCTAGCAGGGTTCTGCTAATGACTACAAAAAGAGTAAGTCCTTGACTTCTAACATAGCAAGAAACTTGTGGTCAGATTGGGCTACACAGGCAAACCTAAATATATGTATACTGTAGTTTACCTTGATCTGGATCAATAGTGATGTCACAGTGGCAAGGAACAGTGGTGACATATCTAAATTCAAGCCTAAAATGCATGCTATTATTTAAAAATAAACTATCAGTCTTATATCACTGGCATGTATAGAAGCTAAAATGCCTGCCTAGTAACGTTCCCAGGCACTGGGTCAAGAAGCAAATAATGGGGAAAAAATTTAACCTCCTAATCATCATGGGGACAGTAATTATTTCTTCTCGTTTCTCATGGTTTCTGACACTTATCTGTTGGTCATGGGATGTTTACACTGAACATATTACTGGATAATAGTGGTACCTGGACTAAAGAATGATTTTCACACTTTGCTGTTTATCATGACAGGCATGTTTTCCTTCAACACCACCTCTTTTTAAGTCAAAGTGAATTCTATTTTGCCTATTTTATTAACTCAGATACTTTACCTATTTAGTTTTTCTTATCTCTTTGCTTATATTTACTTGAATACATTCAGTTTTACTAAAAATGCATGTTATTTATTTTGCTTTCAAAAATCTAAAGTCAATATTTTAACCTGGATTTGGGGGGAGAGGGGAGATTAGAACTAAGACTTGATTTCATTGATGTGAGGAACTCCATAAATACATGGGGGAATCTTAGCTGGTGAAGTCTTAGATTTGCCTGGGGCACAGAGATTAAATGATTTGCCCATGGTCACACAGCTAATAAGTTGTCAGAGGCAGAACTTGAATTCCAGCCACCTTCCTGCCTCCAAGGCCAGCCCCCAATATCCATTATGTCATTAATATATTTTTTATCAGTTTAAAACTGGATACAATCTCTAGTCAAACATAAATTTTTAGAAGGTCAATGTGGTGGCTAGGGTTTAGGAGGCCTAGACTAGAGAAAGGAAATCTGAATTTTGAGTACCACCTCTGCTAACTGCTCTATCTTGGACAAGAGAAGATTTGCATGCACTGAAGTAAAGTGCAATAAATAGAACCAAGGAAACGACATACAAGACTGCAACAATCAAACTGAATGCCGTGAAATTAATTATAGTGACCAACCTTTCTATATCAATTGATATAGTAAAAGAACGACACTGCTCCCTCCCTCCCCTTCTTTACAGAAGTGGGAGACTACAGGCATATAGTACTGCATATAATGTTAGACTTTTTCAAAAAGTTGGCTTTCTGCTGGACTGATTTCCTGCCCCATCCCTTCCCTTTTAACATTTTTAATTGTGGGAGCAGAACATATCAGGAAATGGGAAAAAAAAAGGCTATCAATAAAATTTTTTTTAAAGCTCCTTAGTTGTTAAAAATATGTTCCTCTAGAAAAATAAGGCTAAAGATGGCAGAATTTCAAATAGGCCTGGAAAGGGACAGAGAATTAACATTCCCTTTTAAAAATCTGCCTGTTGTTGGTTCTTCTGGTTCTATCTTGTCAAAGTCTAAAGATAAGTTTCTGCTCCCATGTTTCCCAAGTCTGAATGTTTCTGTTGGTGGTTTGTAATTTGAAAAAAAAATTAATACCTTCCTTTTGTGGACAGCGTTAAAGAATGTTTCTTGCTATATGTCAAAGTATTCTTCTAAAAACAAGGACATTTTACAAGCTCCTTAGTTTCTCTCTCTCCTTTCCCACTGTTTTATTTCCAAAAGTCATCTATAATAAGCATATTGATTTTAAGGAAAGATTCTATTTTAAGAGTAAAGGAAGCAGAGCAAATGAGGTTACAAAAAAGTAATTACAGCACTGACCAGTAAAAGACTGGCATCAAGTACTCAAGTTGTGTATGAAGTATGGAAAGTATGCTTTTTTTAAATGTAAAAGATTGGTCACGTTTTCCAATAACTTATTGCCAAGTACACCAAATGAAATATTTAAATTTTATCAGGTACTGCTATTTTCTCCACTCATGAATATTACTATCTCATCTCCTATAACTGACTATAGAGCCCACTGTATGCTTTGGAAGTCTCATAAAAAAAAAAAGAAAGAAAATGAAAACAAAATCAGCTGATAAATTTTAAAGGACCATAATCTGCACTAGAATGAGTTAGATCTTCACTTAGCTACTCTACAATGGTACTACCTCACCTTACCTCATTCCTCAACAGTAGATACAACTTAGCCCAATCACTTTTACCTTGAAGCCATACCACAAAAGAAAAACCACGAGAATGACAGAAGACAATAGAAACTAAAACACAGTACTTCAACAAACTTTTAAAAAGTAAGGAAATATTAGGTGGCATATTAAACAAACTTTTAAAATGCAACTTGTAGACTATTCTAAGGACCCATCATAGAACAGAATTTAAACTGATGATATCCTAGAATCTTTCAATAAATGAAATAGGTTTATTCTGAGGAGGTAATATTTGATGCAAAATTTTAAATATAGAACCCTATTTTTCTACTGCATCATATGCACTTAGGGGGAGATATGCTTCAAGTATTAAGATGGCTAATCTTTGTTTAGGGTTTCTTGGCTTGAGGGTGGAGGGAATTTTCCGTTTCTGAGTACCTTGATAAGAATTTACTTGTTTTACTTTAAAAAAAAGTCATTGTAAAGCAAGACAGTTCTCACTCTACAACTGAATATTATGGCTTTAAAAGTGATGATGACTTTCCAGACTTGGGCTAATAATGGAACAAAGAACCAGGAAATTTTAGATTTTTTAGATGAAGTATACTTAATTTGCTCCCTCTTGTTAAAAAAAAGTGTATGTACATTTATACGAGTCTGTGTTTGTGTGTACAAAATCATAGCAAAGTCTCGGATCTTGAAATCCCTCATATGAAAAGTATCAATTAATTTGACTCTGGAATGCCCATATTTCACAACTTTCTTCCAGGTAACAAAGAACTGATACCATACTATTTAATACCACAAACTCTAATAACCTTTCAAAAATAATACAATCTTACTGGGAGTCCCAAGGAGAAAAATGCCAAATTTTGCAACACAACATTCTTCCATGAGGAACTAGGAAACTAATGTCCTAATGAGTTTTAGAAGCTGACTTGCTATGTATTCTAACACTTCATTAGTCTATTGTTTTTTAAAAACAATATGTGTACCAGTATTATACCTCAGGTTACCTATGTTCCAAATACTTCAAAAGATTTATGATCATTTCTATTTTTCAACATGGTTGCATGATATCCCACCATCACCCTCATACAACACAAACAACTGTGACTTAGGAACTCTGACACAAACTCTGACACATTATTCCAGAGGACTGATGATGAAGTATGGTGCCCCACTTTTTGATAGAGGGGTGACAGACTCAAGAATGTGACATTTTTTTAACTTGTTTTTTTTGGCCATAGCCAATGCAAATTCCCACATTGTTCTGTTCGTAAAAAGGGCTTTTCCCTTTTCTTTCTTTTTCAGGGGTGAAAGAAGCAGTGAGAGGAGGAA